CCCCGCTTCCTCCGGTTTATCCCGTATAATTTCGAGAAAGTCGTCTCCCCATACGCGGCCGATATTTCCCGGGGCAGAATAATCCCCCCCCCCTTACCCCAGCACCCTCTTAACCGCGGCACAGGTCATCTCTCTCTCTCTCTCTCTCTTTCTCTCTCTCTCTCTCTCTCTCCCTCTCTCCCTCTGCGTATCTCTTATTCATTGCTACAAGACGAATAGCTCTCTTGTGCTCGCGGTGGCGGTGGCCTTGTGGGTGGCCTGGTGCCCCCCGCACCTGAAATGCTATCTCCTCCAGAGCCTCTCTCTCTCTCTCTCTCTCTCTCTCTCTCTCTCTCTCTCTCTCTCTCTCTGGGCGTATTATTGCAAGACACGCACGCGCAAGCATTCCGTCCGAATTAGTGCTGCGGTATACGACGCGAGTGGGCTGAGGGTTGGGCGAGGAGGGGGAGGACGAGCAGGAGCTCATCTCGGAGGTAGGCAGTGAGAGGTGCGTGATGAGCGACTGCATGCCACCGCGCTGCTGCCGTACCCGCCGGCTCAACATTCGCACACTCAATCTCGCGAAATATGACGCGCGAAAGCCGGAAAGTCTTTCGGCAGTTAAATTTTGGTAGAGGACGATTTTCCTGCACACACTGCCCTCAACTCTTTACGAGAAAATTTGCCCATTAACTATTAAATTTTTGCGCCGTTGTATATTATGAAGAAATTTATAGTATTACTAATCTTGTTCACAATATCACTGAACGTTTTTTAGTATACATATTTATTACGGTACTGTACTAGGAGAACATTTCGTAATACTAAATGATTTCTTATACATCAGCACAAGACAAAAAAAAAAGCAAATTTTTGTGACAATTTTAGTGTGTTTGGCTGCTGATTTTCAAGGTATTTCCCGATCTTCTCTCGCCGATTCCCAATCGAACTCGGTGTGAAATTGCTATCGTCCGAATCGTGGACTTTTCCTCTTTTTTTTTCTCCCCTCTCGTTGGAGGTCGAGAAGAAAGTCGTCAGCAGCACCGCGGGAGGGCCTCGCGAGAGCATTGTGGTGGGTTTCGTACCTTAACCTCCCCCCCCACCCCTCCTTCTTCAACTGTAACACGATCCTCATTACTAATTCGCTCTCAAGTTGGAACGTCTAGCGCCCCGTTCGGCTGGGAGAGTTGGCGGGGCG